TTAACTTACATTGGAGAGGCGACTATCAATCGCTATTCATCAAACAATAGTTATAACAAATAAACGTTAGAATTCAATATTAAATTTTATACAAGGTATCAACATACGAAACATAACATTAAGATTGCTCTGATCCTTATTGTATGGAAGATTTGTCTTTATGTTACTTGCAAATAGTATTATCAATATTTCATCGGATCATAATGAATATTAATAATGAAAAACATCGTCGAGTGCAAACGGTTTAAGGAGTCTCGCAATCACGTGAGAAAATCATGACTCTCGGCTTCCGTTTCGTTAGGAAAATCGCTTTCCTCGTCCGCGTAATTTGATGAATAATCTGATCGACGATGAACACGTTGAACGCGTCTTCGTTCGCCGAAGGTATCGCACCTGGGTTCACGCGGGATGCGTCCGACCGCAGCCGGAGATGCCGGTGAGAAAGAGAGATCGTTATCGGCCCGTTAAGAAACTCATTTATACCAAGATAGGAAATAGGAAAGCTGATTAGATCGCGAAGGGTTAATCGCCGGCGGTAATCGACGTCGGCCGGACAGGAAAAAAATCGGAACCCGTCAAGGTAAACGGTCCCCGTCCACGTGCACAGCACGAAAGACGCGGCTCGACCTGTTAACCAGAGAGAGAGAGAGAGAGAGAGAAGTCTGTTAATCGCAGCCGACATCGATTATCGCTTTCTTTTTTACCCGATCAATGATCCTGTCGTTTTATCATGGCCACTGCTAATGGAAACTGTGTCGAACTTGGATTTATTGAGATTGAACTTGTATCGATGTTGCTTGATTCAGCTGCAATTCAATGTGATACTTTAATCTTCGTTCCTCTAGATCCTCTAGATTCCTCTACAATCGTACTTAGAGAAGATGCAACAGCAATATTCCAAACAATTACAATAAAACGACGGTCGCGTTTCGATCGATGGATCGTCTAATTATTCGAAGCCGAGACGCGCAGGAGACACGTGCACGCGCCGTCGCGTCGGGTACTTTTAAATACCGTTACTAGAAAGTAGCGAGTAGACTGTACGACGGGAAAAAACGGGGGAAAAAGAAAAGAAAAGAGGAGAAAAGAAAGAATGAAAAATGGTCCAGTGAAAGTGTCGCGGCGGTGTGTTCGGATTCGGTTGTGTTTGCCTTTATGTAACTGGGAACGTGTGAACGACTGGATCGCGACGGCGCGCGCGTGTTCGCGTGCCTTCTGTAGATTTCGTGGGCAGCCTGTCGCGTGCGCGGCTTGTGTTTTTAAGTTCGGAAAGCCGAACGACCCTCGATCACCTGGCATCGGCGCCGCTTCATTCGATTTTCACTCATATTCAAGACGCAACAATTCCGACGCTTTCCCGGAGCAAGCAAAAACGTCATTGGATTCATTTTTCTCTTCGAAATTAAGTTTTTAGAATGATGGAACAGATAAGTTTATAAAACGATGAAAATTACATGGTAAATTGAAGAATTAAAAATTATAATAGAATAATTACACTGGAGGCTGATACAAGATTATCGAACGATAATACATGATTCAGCGAAGAGCAATTTACATAATTCAGTGAGACTCGTATTCAAACTTCTTAGACAAATGCTAGAGTCTATCTCCAGCTTATCTCTAGCTTACCCAGCTCTAATTTCCTTTTCCTTCGATAAAATTTCACCCCTTGGCGTCTCGAAGGTTCCGTAAGAAAGTTTCACGAGAACCGAGCACGAAGGAGAGATGGAACTCGGAAAAATTCGAGAATCGTCGGATCTGGCGATTTGTTTTCCTTCGCGGAGCTTACGTAACGGCGAAACGAAAAAAATTGCTTGTTATTCTTTATTTCTACTTCTGTTTATTCCCGCCGAGGCTCCGGACGGCATAAATTCAGCGTTACGTCGCCGCCTGATCCCGTTCATGGGCACAGATGGCTATCTCGCGAAATTACATTAAAGTCCGAGGCGTTCGTTAATTAACGAAAGGTCGCGCGAAACCGTGCCGCTGCCGACGACCGTCTCTTCCTCTGTTTAAGACGTTTTCACAATTACGACCGGTGCCACCTTCCTATCGCTTCTACGACAAATCCGCGGGATAGAGTAATCTCGAGTGAGATGACTCGATCTCGTTTCGATCGTCGAATGTCGGTGTTTTCTATTGTTTTTAGCGGTATACTGAATCCTGCGCGCAGATCTATTTAACCGTTTGCTATCGAATGCCGCCGTAATGGCGACTTCGAGCTTTCGTATCTGAACGGGAGAACGATATGTGATTAAGACTTCATTTTCAGTGTTTTATGGGAAGAGGTTCTAAACATGTTGACACTAGATTTACGGGACGAGGTAGTTTAATTCATATTGAATTTTATAAATATTATTTGATACATTTTCACATGGTTAGTTGTCCACTTTCAAACTAATTTCCAAGATCTAAACGAACGAGTATCAATATTTCTAACAACGATAGAAGAAACTGTACAATGAATGTCCGTAATTATAGTGTTAGGAACGCTGGTCCGCAAAGGGTTAAAGTTTAACTACAAAAAAATTTGAAATTGGTGAAATTTACTCGAATCTCTTTTTTTCTTGTACCGGGGCTCACAGAATTGGTCGTTCAGCCTCAGACACGCGAACCGGTATAAATAGATCGGCAATGATTCCAGTGATTTCCGTACTCGAAATACGTAGAATCTATATTGATCCCGAGCGAGGAATCTGTGGCGATCGCTGCGCAGATTTTCTCAATAATTCCTGTGATTGTCGTTGCTATTCCTGGCGCCGCGATTTCGCGGATATCTACTGCATGCTTCAGTTCATCAACCAGTGTTACTCTTTCATCTTGTTGCCATCTTTCTTGTTACCTGAAGCTTCAATTTACAGTCGGAAAGAAGCCGGACCACTCGAAACGACTTGCCTCAGTGTTCTCATTTTCTTAATTATTGATATTTTCAAGGCATTAACTCGTTAACTGCGGTGGTCACTGACGACCGACGCTTTTGAATCGCTCGAAGACAATTACAGTGTTCTAATACGTTTAATGATGATTAAAAATGTTTGATATTCTGAGTAACTAGATAATAGTGTACCGTAAGAATTGCGGCACGAAATAGTTAATAATTGCATTGAGAATAATTAATAGCTGTGTTAAACATTCGAAATGATTTTGATACTCTTGTTACTACAATGAATATCCCCAGAAATCGAAGAAATCTGTTGTTACAATTTTTGTAAGGATTACGTGTATCAGTCGTACTGAACACTCGGTGGTCCCAACGTTAATTTGTGAAACGCTACGTCGTTAACAACGTTGTTACAACGTTAAAACGTCTCGACCACGTTTTCCAGTTTCCCTGATTGATGTGACGTGCAGCATCGACTCGCGAAGGAGAGGCGAGCACGTGCGCGGCTCGCATGCGAGCATTTAGCAAGTAGTTGATCTCGAATCGATTGATTTCTCGTTTGTTCTTGTTGACTACGGAGTCAACAGGATGTTTCGTTCATTTACGATACTTTCTCGTTAGTAAATACTAACAGTACGATTGTTGATCATTCAAGGACTTTGATAAAAGAGCACCAGGCATATTAGAGTCTCTTTCTTTTGTTTCATTCGACACAGATTTATTGTAATATTTGTTAATGGTGCAAGTTAAAATGATGCTAAGGTCTTAAAATAACGTGTCCGTCTCGTGGTGAAGATTTTAAACAGAATTTAACACACACGAACATTACTCGATTTTGAATCCGAATTGAATATTATTCTTCTGTTATCAATTATCATACTTTGGAGTAAAGGTTGATATAAAAAGTGCTTATCATTTTATTCTTTTTCTTAATAAATTATTGACGACAAAGTAGTTGTATCGATCAATGTTGAGAAACAAATCGTAGGACAAAGGGTTAACTGAAAATGAATCGAAAAAATTTTAATGATCTAAACAATATTATGGTAACATTCTGACTAGAGATGGCTCAAAAATGATCTTGGTAAGAATCCTCTTGTACATTCAGAAGGAAAAGCGTTTATGAATGGCGGAGGAGCGTGACCTCCTAATTGTCCCTAGCAGCAACATCGAAAGCGTCGTTCGGCTCGCTGAGCGAAAACAGTCAAAGCATAAATTTACATTTTAAGTTAAATGTCAAGGTACTGGTTTCGTTGTCTCGTTGAAAAATCGTCTATAATGCCAGCTGCGCGCGTATCCGGCCAGTTTCACGTATGCGGTAACTGGTTTTTAACCTGTTAACCGGCAAAGACGAGTTAACTCGTCGCTTACGATTCACCATACATTTGGATAATTCCGTTTCTATCGTTGTACCCACAGCCCTACTAATTAAAGTGATGTTTATATAAAAATAATGACCGTGGATCATTTTTATCTATCGTTTAACCCTCCAAGATGGTGGCTGGGTCCATCTCGATCGAAATATTCAAGAAATATGTTTATCCTTACAATTGAAAACGATGAAATTGCAGTCATCGATTATTTGCGTCAGATCTCATAAGAAAATTGCATGAAATTAACAGTCCAAAATGTTGTATATTTTATAATAAGGAATACGTGTAACAGAGCTAACCTAGACACTAATTTTACGTGCACTGTTTCTTCCTCGATGACTATTTTTCGTCGCATTGATAATCTCTTTGCTAATCGCTCTTTTCATAGACAACGCAACGATAAGCTAGCATGGATAATAGGGCAAATTACTTTTTAAACTTGGTATTAATTAAATATTCAATGCCGTTGCAGGCTGTTAGAAGTCGTAAGATAATCAATCATCGCAAATCACCTACTATTAACTGTGGAAAACACGGTCTGGTCGAGCAAGCGTCTTTACGATCTCCTGGTTGCTCGTTTACTTAATAAATAATTCTTGCATTTATACTGCACGGAAATGTCTATGCTAGTGTAAACATTTCATTCATGCTTAAATAGTATAACAGAAAATGGCAGGGAATAGCAGTTAGGTTAAATAGGTTTCGTTTGTCTGGCAGGAAGCCTATATACAGGGAGGAGAAATGTTTTTGCACGTAAATGATTCTAGTTATCAATTAAAATCATTACCTTCGGTATACATTATTCAGTTGAAAATGATTATTTTCTAGGTATTTTGTATTATTCTAGAGTTGTATCGTAATTACTGTGTAAAACAATATTGTTGATCGATAGTAAGTTACCCTAACTTCGTCTGTTCTTTTCGAATCGATAAAGACAAACGTTTCGGGAACAATGCTTTAGAAAATTAATCTTTGGTAAAGGGAAAATGGAGGAAATTTGATTATGAATATTGTCAACCGAGGACGGTAATTTCAGAAAACAATGCATACAACTGTTCGAGAAAAAGCGTCGGCGCGTATAGTCACGCGAAAGTTTACTCGATTGGCAACAACAGTTTTTTACTGCTGATAATTACGTATGAAAGTTGTTTGTGTGGCTTCTTTCAATTAACACTGTCCTGATAATATGTTCGTGGCGTTTGATGTGATGCCGGAAAAGGAAACTCGTGCCAAAACCAACTTTATATCGCGGTTGAAGCATAGTTAACCTCAAATTCAATCCACTAACATTACTTCAACCAACGATCATGCATGTATAATTTCAAATATCCTGTAGTACTTAACGTAGATTATTTTTTTTAAATTCTAACATATGGTACTCTCTGATTAAAAGAGTCCTGATTAACAAGTTCTAATTAATTCTCTTAATTGAACTTTATTGTTTTTAATGCGACTTTCTTTTATCAGTTCTGATGATTACAATAAATATTACAGTGAATGAACAAGAGAAGATGCCTGGCCACCGTCAGCCTAACTCCCTAGAGGGACTTAGTTTGGGACGTGTGTGTCAACAACTCGACGGGACGTGCCGAAGGCTACAGGTGCTTTCACAAGAGTCATCAGCAGCACAAGTTTTGGCTTATGCGAAGCAGACTATCAGGCCATATTACATAAATGCTCTGCCAGCTTGTTTACGGTCTCAAGTTATAGAAGAAACTTCAAAAATGTTATATGGACCTGCATCTGATGGATCAACTTTAATATCTGGACCAGCACCCTTATATCTATTAGCCCTCCTGCTAGGACACGATATAAAGCAGTTGAAAGTGTATCTGTGTTGCTACTATGGATGTAGTCATCAGACATCATTGTTAAAGCTGCTCGCATCTGAAGGAATTGGACTTGAATCTTTGAAACTGGCTCGTTCTGCTTTGCTTAGATTAGACTGTAAACTACTGAAATCTGCTCTTATGAATATGAAAAATCTGATAAGTCTATCTCTTCGTAACATAGCCAGTGATGCTGTACTTCAAGTAGTGGGAAAAGCTTGTCCAAAACTAGTTGTTCTGGATGTTGCTTGTTCCAGACAAGTCACAGATGTAGGATTGAAGCAATTACTGTTGCAAGTAGAACTCAGAGACAAAGTGCCTCATGCTGCTATGCAAGAACCCACTAGTTGGTCCCGTTTAAAAATATTATTGTCAAAATTGAAGATGAGGAATTCAAAATCGGAGAAAAAAGAAAAGCAAGGAGTATTGTTGGAATATTATGAAAGTAGAAACCTTCTCTGTGATACACTCAGAGTACTTAATGTTGCTAATACTGGAGTGACCAGTGCAGGAGTATTGTTAGCTTTGGTGCATGTGCCAAGATTAGAGTCCTTGGCAGAATATTGTCACATGGGAAGAGTAGTGGAAATTATGAACAAAAGACTGATTGAATTTAAAACTCCATTTAGTTTGACTCAGGCAAGAAGTTGTAGAACTACACCAGTTCGTTTGGAACTTTTGGCACAAGCGTGTCCAAAAGTGGAAAAATTACATATCTCAGAGCCTCATCATCCCCCTGAAGCATTAAGACTATTTCCCTATGTTACCTCCCTAAGTGTGCGCAATATTCCATCTCAAGGAGAATGGCTAGATGGGTTCTATGAATATCTTCGTACAAACGGTCACAATTTACACGAACTCAATCTCAGAATAACTCAAAACGAAAATCCTATTCAAGTGGACCTAAAAGAAATATTTAGCAGCTGTTGTAACCTTAGAATATTTACTAGTGATGGTTCCAATATAACTTGGAAAGAAGGAAATGATCCACCCCCACTCAAATATTTAAAAAGAATTAAACTGGGACGGATAGTGAGTGCTGTTGCCATTACCAAAATCCTTTCGTTAGCACCAGAATTAACAGCATTACATGTTCACAGTTGCTATGATTTGACAAATGAACACTTAGAAAAATTATTGAATGTATCCGCAAAACCAAAAAATCCACGAAAGTCTGATAAATGTGAAAATAGTCTAGTACAAAATTTAACATGCTTTTACATATACGAAGCTAGTAAAGTGTCTGCAACTACTGTGCTAAATATGTTTCAAAACTGCAAGAGATTAAGAAAAATTGGAAATTTAGCCAATTGGGGCTTAGACTGTGAAGGTATTAGGATGTTGAGAACAACACTGATCCGGACAAATTTGGATGTGGATTTGTGCCCAGGAGAACATTGGTTTTGGAGTAACTGTATCCAGTGATATATTTTTCACATTTCTATACTAATAGAAACAGTTATAAAAATGTTGAGTCTATGACAAAAATAGACTGCTGTTACATTTGAATCTATTACACTCTAATAGACTGTAAAATTGTCAGTATTAAAAGTTATCTTAATAAACATAGAACAATTTATATTTCGGAAAATTCAAAGAAACATTTATCGCATATTAAATGAACATGCACACAAAGAACTAGCAACAGTAATTGGTCATCTAATTAAGTCAGAATCAATTTATTTGCATAATTATACATACACTTATAAGCACTGAAGTACTATGCAATAATAATGTACTGAATATAATATAAAGAAAGGAAAAGTATATTTTTATGCCATGTTAAACAACTTACTCCACAGTAATGTACTGTTCTAACAAATAAATCAAAGTATATAACAATAAGCTACTATGCAAGTTCTTATATTACTAGTACCATTGTCTATCCGTCTAACGAATGCCAGTAATTAAGCAGATTCGTAAAGTGTAAACTGTACAACTATTTTTTAATTATCTAATAATAAGTACTTAAAACTTCAAAGCAAGGAAAAGAAAATGTTAATTTGTATTATAAAAAATGATTAACTGCAATGCAAATTTTATATATATATATATATAAATATATTCATATTGAATTAAAAATTATACAGCACAGACTATGCATGTATATTGCGGGTTCTGATTACAATAAAGAATTCTTTTTAAGAAAAAGACCCTTCTGTTTTATTACATAAAATAAATTATGTCGATGAATACACACAAACGACTTACCTCGGTTAAGCCGTGGGATTGCAACAAAAGATTGATGAGCTTCGTGTCCGTTTGAAAAATTTTATACGTCATATGCAATTGTTTCGCAGGTGCTTCTTCCGGAGGAGTGGCTAACGCGGAACACCTGAAAAATAATAAACATTCTTTTTACGTGTCGCACAGGTAGGGCAATACAGAAAGATGCTATCTTTCAAAACTCACTTGAAGCGTAAAATGGATGCTTTATTTCCGGTTGGTCCGTTCAATAGCCATTCGTTGTTCGGCGGACTTTTGTCCTTCGTTGTGCTGCAAAAATATATTACACAAACAACATTAACGTGCCGCCAGGATTTCACGCGGGAAAGTACCCCTACAAAACTAAGGGCGGGAAATTTGAAATAATCGTCGCGACAACAGAGACACCTACGAAACCTCCTGAAAAAAGATCCCGGACTGTAGCGCCATCAAACACTGATCCACGGTCGGTAAAATAGTACTCCCACGTAATTCAAGTCGTTACAATTCAATTTCACTTTTCCACGATTCTTATGATCGATAAAAGAGCGATAAACGTAAAACAAGGATATCGTGGAAATGCTGGTACGAAACTCGGGTCGAGTGTGAACGCCACTGTAAGCGAGCCATAATCGTATCTTCGTGCATTTTACAATCAGCCGAGAGTACATTGCAGTGAAATAAAAAAACGATCTAACAAATCTTTCAAACACGTTGAATGCCGCACGATTTCATAGATCAAAATACACAGAATGGAAAAAATACAATATTGAATCCTTTGAGTTGCATTATCATTGCACGTTGATCTAACTGAATAGCACCGCATTAGGTGGCATTATTTATAATATTCAAATGTTTCCAAATAATCATCGCTTAATTGAACGATATAGCAGTGTTTCCTATCGTGGCAGGGCAATTTGAAATTAGAAATATCACTTCGTATATTTCACAGTATTTACGCCCGTAAACAAAATAACAGAAATACTATAAAAATATTATAATATAGGCGGGGCATGGCACAGAAAAGGGAAACACTGATTTATAGTAATTCGATGGGGGTCACCGGTGACCCCCATGGCATTCGAAGTGTTAAATTTTGGTTTCAACTCTACCGGTTCGCGTTCACGTTGTTACCATGATTATTCAAATAACGTGTTCGTTAATTTCCATGTTATAGTTCGCGAACGATCGTTAGTGCGCTCCGCGAATCGCGCTTTCTATTCAGCGCTGTGGCGGCGGAAGAAAAGGAACGAGATAAAGGGGATTCGGAACGAGACGGGCTAATAAAACAACGGGCGCGTTTCCTGCTTTCTGAAATCAATCTAGAAAGTTCGGATAACGGCGTACACTTTCGCGGTGTCCGGTCTTAAACCAATTGTATCGCGCGATTATCGCGTTCGACGATTGTTCGCGGCGCATCCGACGTGGCCGGTCTCGTTAATCTCCCTCAATTAGTTCGAGCACACGTAGCCGAGGAATAATTGGACAGGCTTTATCGATGCCTCGGACGATAACCGGTAGCAGTTTACCTTGTCCACGTTAATTGGATCATTTTTTTCGAGACCCGATGCCCGTACGAGCGTGACTAACGGCCGAACGCGAACGATCCGCGAATCGGACCCACGGGAAACGTCGATAAATTATGCGCCGACGATCATTGCCGCGATTATTGCCGTCCAGATAACACCGGGGAATCCGTAGGTTACGGGTAATTATCGTAGAAATAAAGTTGGACGCAAATGAAAAGGAAATCTTCACGCTGATAATTAGCGAATGGATTACATCGAACCGTTTTCTACGTCTTCTTTCACGTTTGTCGGGTAAACACTGTCATTAAGTAGATTTAATGTCCAGTTAAACTGCAAACGACTCGAAATCTCAATCATTGTTGCAATTGGAGGGTGTATGACATACAAAATGGCCGATTTGAATTAGATCGAACCGCTTTTTCTCGTTTTCTTTTACGTTTGTCGGGTAAACACTGTCATTAAGTAGATTTAATGTCCAGTTAAACTGCAAGCGAATCGAGATCTCAATCATTGTTGCAATTGAAGGGTATATGAAATACAAAATGGCCGAATTGAATGTAGTTTTAGTATCGAAGCAGTAGGGCTGGCACTAGGTTACACCGATTAACAGATTAAGGGCGCCTAATCGTGCACGAAGAACGGGTTCCGGTGAAAGTTCCCTAAGTGTTTATTGGCCGAACGGTCCCTCGAACTTTCGTGTAGGCGTACCTTTCCGAAGTTTCCGATTTGTGCGGTTTATGTACAAGGGGCTCCAGAGTCTCCTCGCTGCTGTTCGACAGTTGCGACATCCCGGATAGGCTGGAGGACGACATCAGCTCCTTCGGCCGTTTGCCTTCCAGTTTTCCAATCGTGTTTGTTTTCATCTGGGACAGCATAATCTATCTGAAACAGAAAGAATGTTCGGTCGATCCTCGGAGAAGACAGAAACTGGTTTCGTTCTTGATCAAGGCGGCAGACGCGGAGGAACTTTTCCTCGTCTTTCGTTCAGGTTTAGAATAACTTTAACACTAGAACTACTAGTAAAATTGATTGTTCTGCATTTTTTAATAGAACTTATAAAAATACATTTATTAAGTTTTATTAAGTTTTTGTATTTATCTAAATCAATTTCTTGAATGATTTCTGAGAAAATCGTCTGCGCCCTTCCCCATAATTGCGAAAGAAGAGACCCAAAATGGGTCATCTTGACTCATCTAGGAATTCTAGCGTTAAACTAGAACTACCGAGTACTTAAACTAACTTTTAAAAATTTCGTGAAAGCCACAAATGTGTAGTTGCTAAGATTTCAATCGGCTTATACATTAATTTAGGTATTACCAAATCGATTTCCGCAATAATTTCTGAAACAAGTATCTGTGCCTTTTCAATAATTCTAAAAGAGGGAATCGGGAATGGGTCATTCTGACCCATCTGGTAGTTCTAGTGTTAAAAGGTCCTTTTCTCTTCATATTTCGGAGCATTCGTATCTATTCAAATGCCGAAAACTTCGTGCGTATACACGACACGAACCGGCAGCGTGTATCATATGTGTCGCACGAGACGCGGCAAAACAGAACGATGTGCACATATGACGGACGAGACAGTGAACGCGTTAAATAATGCATAAGCTGGTTCATAAAAAAGCCGGTCGTATTTTATATTTGAGGAAGGATCAATCGGATCGACCGAGGAACGGCCGTTTTAATATTTCCACCGGGTCAGCGTAGGCGGCGGGTCTTGTGTCCGTAACGTAACGCATTCAATCATTCAGATAGCTATCAAGGGAGAAAAGGAACTCGGCTGGACCGGGGGAGCTAATTTGGGACACGTGAAAACGAGAAATGAAAGGTCTTGGCATTCCTTTTTTCTAGGTTCCGTTGGATGACCAGTCACTGTTTATTCAGTGACGATAAGTCGTGCCATAACAACTGAATCACAGCGACGTCGACGTGCGGTCTCTTGATCGTTGAATCATCTGGGAGCCAGGTACCAAAGCAGAATTGTACCTTCGCATCAGCCCTTATTCAAGGTTCGAATCGTGTTGTCTAAACCAGTCGAAATTAGGCGGTACGTCGACTGCGTATTACCTTCACACGATAAACCTATATTCGAACCGATTCCCATGTGTGAAAGTGCGAAGGTCGCGTTCATTTCAAAGAAAGCAACAAACAGTGGACGAAGTTTCTGCTCATCCTTGCTCACCGAGAAGCATGGAAAGAAAGTTTCGAAATCGAGCTTCGCGTTTCATGCTCTTTCGCAGCGCACCTTGATCCGATTACCCACATAAACTTAGCGAGACTGGTAGGAGTCAAGGCGCATCTACAACGCGGTTATATTTGCTGTCCATTAACATTCCAGCATCGAGAGATTAAAGTGCACGGCTACGCGGAAAATCGATGCTGGTCTATAATTATGGAGCCCGCCCTAAGAAAAGTCATGGCTGCGGCGGCGTTTAGCGCGCGTCGATTTCGGTTTCGTTCGATTCGCGGCTTTGCGTGCGTCGATTGACACTGGAACTATCGACTGGGTCTGAATCAACCGTTTCTGAAGTCCTCGATGGTCGTTGTAAAGATAACCGATGATTCTCGGAGAAATTGGGAAAGGAATTGGGTTGGCAACGAGTAAATTGCATTATAAGTTAGTCGAGGTTTCGGTAGGACTGCTTGGTAGTTCTAGCGTTAAACGTTTCGGTCTGGGTTAAGTAAATTTAAAGTTCTACCTTAGGAGCTTTTAAAGTTTTCATAGAAAAATTGAAGTCAATTTGTCTGGTCGGTAATTCTGTGAAAGAATTTTTCTAATGTGAAAGGTTTAAGTTAGGCCTTGGTTAGTTTTTAAAGTTCTACCTTAGGGATTTTTAATTTTCTATAGAAAAATTAAAGAAGCCAATTTATCTGGTCAGTAATTCTAATGTGAAAGGTTTAAGTTAGGTCTTGGTTAGTTTTTAAAGTTTTACCTTAGAGACTCTGAAAGTTTCTATAGAATAATTAAATAAGTTAATTCGTCTGGTCAGTAATTCTAATGTAAAAGGTTTAAGTTAGATCTTGGTTAGTTTTTATGAAAAAATTGGGAAAAGTCAATCAGGCTCTCCGATAATTCTAGTATCAACGCGTTCTAGACTTCGACAACTGTCTGAGGCGCGTCGGTAAAAGTTTGTTTCCCTGATTTTCACTTACCGGGTTATCGACGTTTCTGTCGAAAGCGAGTACCACACGTTCCGCGAGAGAACAATGAGGAAAGTCGCGCGAACGCTAATGCTCCCTCGTTACGCTCAACCTGTTATCTTTTCGCGTGTCACAAAACCGAGCGCCGTTATCCGTCTTTGTCACGGATGGGAAAATCCAACGTTGGATAGTCTTCTCGCGAATTCCGATTTTCGATTAACGTGGCTCGATTGTGGTTAATAATAGCATGTATGTCGTTTAAACGAAACGGAGGCGATGGCGAAAGAGGAAGAAATTGTACCGTCTCTTCGGGTATGGTTTACATTGCAATCTACTGGAAGACTTGAATACTACGAAAGAAGAACTCAAATAGAAGAGAAACTTTACTAGAAGGCTATTAGAAGAGAAAAAGAGAGGAGCTCGAGTATCTACTAGAAAATAAGAAATGAAGGACTGGAATCTTTTTTCTAGTAAATATTTGCGTTTCTCCTTTTCCTCTTTTGCAGTGGATATTAAAGTTCTCCTGTTTTAAAAATTATCTGAGTTCTTCCTTCCTTCTTTTCTAGTAGATATTTGAGTTTCTCCTTTTCCTCTTTTGTAGTGGATATTAAAGTTCTCCTGTTTTAAAAATTATCTGAGTTCTTTCTTCCTTCTTTTCTAGTAGATATTTGAGTTTCTCCTTTTCCTCTTTCCTAGTAGATATTAAAGTTCTTCCTTTTTAATAATTATCTAAGTTCTTCTTTTCTAGTAGATCTTGAGTTCTCCTTTTCCTCTTTTTGGTAGACGAAAAGGAGCACTCCTATCTCCTAGAAAAGAAGGAAGAAAAAACTCAAATACTTACTAAAAAACGAGGACTACTAGAAAATAAGAAAAAATCTCGAATATCCATTAGAAAAAAGGGAGAGCAGAACTCAAACAACAAATGACCCATATACAGATTTCTCGTTGTTCAAATGGCAAAACTCTTCCCAACTTTATGTACCAAACATGGAGATCAAATGTCGTCGATAGAGCGATATTCGTCCACAAATGATTAATACGCAGACAGGTATCCACCGTGTACTACCGCACGTATCGAAGTACTCGTACGTGTGTACGCATCATCGAAGTGGACTCCCTTCGATCAAGCCCGGTGTATTACGCACGCCCGACGCGTGGCCATTAGAGGCACGCACACACGCTCGCCGAAAAAAGCGGAATTCGCCGCGTTGTTACGGTACCCCACGGTCGACGTTAACGGGAACGAAAACCGGGCAACGCGGCGAATGGTCAACGCGTGAGTCACTGTATCGTGATTTTCGTGATCGGCGAGGCTCGCGCAACAATGAAGGGAGATTGCGATCATTCGGGAATTCAGGCACCGTGTGCATTACACGTGCGGCGCGTGCTACGACGATGACGAAGTTTATTTTTTGAATTTACCGCCAACCGCTGTGGGAAGATTGACCGAAGTTCTGGGGAGGCAACGCTTTGGAAACTTGTTGCACTGTATCCGCAGTGTTGCCTGTAATATTTTATCAAATTATGGAACAGTTTCATGATTTTAATGGTATTTCCAACGTACGCGATACAGAGGAACATGTAGAGTGGTTGGAAGGATTTTGGTAGTCGTGTTAAACAAGCTTGCGACCGATTTCTATCGAAAATTTGGAACCGTTAATAATACTTGACGAAAATTATACATAGATATATCTGGCAGAGAGATATCATTTTGGCGATTGAATCAGCTGAGCTTTCGACAGTTCTATTCCAATTTACGAATCCCCATTCACCCTCGATGCCCAACTTGATCTTTGCATCGAGGGTGAATGGGGATTCGTAAATTGGAATAGAACTGTCGAAAGCTCAGCTGATTCAATTAGAAAAATTGTATATAGATATATTTGATAGAATTCTGTTCCAATTTAGGAACACCCATTCACCCTCGATGCCCAGGGTGAACTTCGCGGATAACTAGGTTCCAAAATTACCAAGTGTCACCGTCGAATACTATAACAGAGTACAGATGTCCACTATAGATATCGATAGAACGTTAACATCTACTAGCCACGAATTCGATAATTATCGTTCGAACAAAACAAGATCGATGCATTCGGGCAACGTCAAAATTCCCAGTCTCGTCGCGGTAACCCTAAAAAAACAGAGAACCCGAATATTTAACTCGGCCAGAGGAAGTGGTTAGGCAACGGTGACCGGAAGAATTCGCGGCGACAGCCTTCGGCCGGTGTACAATGTGAGAGCCGGCAGGCCAGCGCGTTGGCAATGCCGGAAATGGAAACGCAACGAGAATGGACGACGAGCTTGCGATTACACGAGAGCCCATTAGGAAGCATGCCAGAATTGGTAACAAGTGTGACGCGCAGCCTGTGGATTCGACGCGGCTGCCCCCGCCCGTTGGAATCGCTTCGTTACCGGTGGAAATTATTTTCGTGATCCTGTCCTATCTCACCAACAACGATCTGCGTGCCGTTCGACGCGTGTCCGTCTTCTTCGAGCGGATCGCCGGCGACCCGTTCCTCTGGCGAACTTACGAGGTACGCACGTCGATCATTAACCCTTTGCACTCGGGAGGTGACTCTCAGTCACCGCTTGATTTCCTACAGCGAAGCTATAAAGTTTGATATTTAATATTATACTTCATATAATGCATTGATCTGAGAAATATCGACGTAAAATAGCTTTGTCCGCCAATTCACGTGAATTTCTCGTCGAGTTGGTTTTACAAAATATCGTCTTCATCTC